GGAGTCGCTGCGCATCCTCCAGTGCCGCCATAACGATTCGAAAAACTCAATTTGTCAAAGATCACCCCTTACAGGAGGAGAAGCAGAGGTGATTTTGTGCCTGGGTCTCGCCCTCCCGGTGCGTGAGCTGCGCCATACCCTTACCTGACTTGTGTGTTGAGAAATATAGCTCGCCTCCTCACGCAGCTTTCGCTGCCCTCCGCGTCCTCATGGCTGCACGCAAGGAGCGCTTGTGCACTCCAGGCTGTCGAGTAATCAATCAACTTGTAGTTGAACCTGAAACTTTCAGAACCCTATCAATCTGAATCGTCGAGCTGCTGTCCGTTTCCCTGCTATCGATCTTTACCAAGGGGAGCCTGGGCCGATACAACGCCCGGCGTTGCAGGTGGCATTCGCCCTTGCCAATATATGGAGTTTATAACACAAATACGATGCTCTCCAGCGGCGACAAACAGGTGGGGGATTCATCTGGATTTCAGAATCCACGCGGGGCGCCAACTGGGCCGCTTCTGTCTGGATTTTGAGCACACCAGCAAACGGGCTTGCGCAGCCCCGTCAGCGGCGTGCATGCATCATATCGCAACATTTGCTTGCGATGTTGCGGACAAGAGGAAGCAAGCAAGCCTGACGGGTGCAAGCCAGGCCCCCGTCATGCTGCAAACGCCACCCTGAACTAGCAGCCCGCCGGCGGCACTCTGCGGACGTCTTTGCCGCCCGCCTGATGTATAAAGGTTGTTGGACCCCCTTGCCCCTTTCCATGTCAACGTTCTGTAGCCCCATTCGCGGTGCACCACGCGTGAGTGCAAGGCCCCGTCACTGTCCCCACACCCCCTCATCAGCCGTCCGGCTGATGCATGGCGCGGCTTTGCCTTTCCAGCCTCTCCGTCTCGTTTCGGCGAACCATGTGCGCGACCCGACTGGTCAACCCTGGCCAACACCTACTGCTTGCGATCTGGGGCAGTCGCAGCAGGCAGATTGGCCAAGAAGAAGCGAGATCACCGCGTTGATCCGGCCCAGAGCCCGTCGAACCCAGAGACGGCGTGCCTGCCAGGGAGAGGCCCCTCCGCAGCATCGTGTGGCGGCTTTGGGGGCTCGCTGCTTGTGCTTGGTCGCGGCTCGAGGGGCGCCCGTTGGTCGTTGGTGGGTGTCAGGATGTGCCATACCGTTTTAACTGTTTTGAGTGTGAACGTGGGCAGTTGCAGCACGCGTCCCCGCAGGCCCTGGCTCGCTTTGGCGGTGCAAGCAGGGCGATTAAAAGAACAGAGGGATGTCAAACCACAGCATCGGTCAGACGCTTGTCGCACGGACTTGTCAAATCCAAAATTCAGTCCAGATTAAACACAGCAGCTGCAGCGACGCCGCTTGCTGGCCAAACTGCATGTGGCACGGTTTGGTCCGGGTCGCGCGCGCGGCATTTGTGAAACAGCTCGCTGGTCGCCGCCGCCGCATCAAGGCGCCGGCGGGGCGCCGTTGCGCGAGGGCGCGGGCAGGCGTGCCAGCGGTGAGAGCAGCTGCTGGGTGATTTCCACCTCTGCCCTGTGTGTGTGCATGCGTGTGTGTGTGTGTGTGTGTGTGAGAGTGCACGTGCGTGCGCGAGAGCGTGCATGCGCGTCACAGTGTGCCTCAGCCTTCAACCACTTTCCCTTGCCGCACCAATCCACACAATCAAGTCAGCGCACCCACCCGTCCGGCGACACGCGCCGCACGCCGCCGTCTGGGAAAAGGATCTCCTTCGAACCGTCGGGGTGGTGGGCCTCCCTTTGGCCGGAGGGGAAGTAGAACACGTCACTGCCGCAGGGGTGCGTCACCTGGCAGGCGTCACGGGCCCGGGCCGGTCAGGGGTGGGCGGTTGGGGTTTGGAGGGGCGGCGGGGGGGCGGGTCGGTTGGGGGTAGCGGTTGGATGACCCATTTTTCTGAAAGGCCGGGGCGAACTGCGATAAGTGAATCAGTGAAATAAGTGATGGTCAGTTTCGACCCCGCCGGCCGCCTGACCATGCGTTTGTGGAAAGCGTCGGTCACACAGCACCCAGGAGAGCGCTGCCGCCCCTGCTGGCTCGGCAGCCCAGCCTGCGCTGCCCCTTCACCTTTCCCCCTCGCGCCCACCCAAGAATTCTCTACTACAGCCCACCCAAGAATTCTCTCTACAGCCATGCAATAACAACTGAACATTGCTCGACGCTGCCAATGCGCAAAGCAGGGTTTGGGGCCCCTGGGGCTCCCACCTGCCACGTCGCCACCTCAGCGTAGTAATAGTCAGTGCGGCCGCCCGGCAGCTGCCGCTTCAGGTCCCCGTTGCGGAACGCAATCTGCAGGCAGCCGCCCGGCTCGACGGTCTTGACCTGCGTTGACCAAATTTGGTGCCCGCAAGCGGTTGGCAAACACGTGTTGGTTCTTGGATGTCTGAAGAAGGGCGCCTCCAAAAGGACACGAATGGGAAGATCGCTTTTAGCCTCATGGCGGTGGCGCGGGTGACGACGCTCATTTGGGCCGGTGACCGCC